CAATGGGGACGATGTTGCCGTCAAGGTCCGGAAGTGAGGTGACAACTTCATAAGCATCGACCAGCAATGTCCGATCTACAGCATAATGGTGAGCAATTTCAGTCATCATTTCTTCATATCCATCCCAGAGAAGAAAAGTGTGAATAGGAAGATCCTGAAGATGATAGAGGATAACTTCCTGACGATTCCCTTGGGCTTCATTTCGAAGGTTAGTGTCAGTTGCAATGTCCTCGGAACTAGAGCTGTCTGAGTCATGGTGCTCCAGCTCTTCATCAGGGCTGTCTTCTGGAATTGCAGCTTGTGCATGTCCTTGCCTAAATGCTTCAAGCATGATTTCATCTTCTCCAGCGTGTGGCGACTGCTTACACTCAGTCTGGAAGGTGGCATGAAATTGCATGAAATCAACAGCATCATCTGGAGCAAGGGAAACACTAGAGAAAGCAGCAACCTCGTCAACCCGGCTCGAAACGGCCTTAATAGACAGCGGTTCCTGGGTGGAGGTTGCTTGCGCATCATGGTTAACAGAAGGCCTAATGCGTTTTCTGCTCCATGGCTTTTCTTTCCAATTGTGTAGAACAGAGCAATGCAGTTTTAGACAGGGCATGGCTAAGCAATCATCAGTTCCAATGTGAACTTCAATCTGATCCTCAAACTGGACTTGTCTTCGAAATTCAGAATGGGGTCTCTGAGAAGGTTCATGATACAAAGGAGTGACATTCGGCCAAAAACCATGATTATCCCAATCGCAAAAATGAAGGTCTTGCAAAACTTCCCATTGCAACTTGAGGGCATCTGCGACAGCTTTAAAAGGATCAACATATCGTGGCTCAAATCTGATGGAGTGCTCCCAAACAAGGTGCGGTTGAAAACAATCACCTAGGTCGGCACATGCTGCACCAGCCAGGAAAGTCCGTGGCTGATAGGCCTCAGTGCCTTCAACAGGGATTGCTAGCATGTGGGCCTCATGCCATGGATTCGACAGAACTCCAAGAGCACGGCCAACGCTCAGGAGGCAGGTGTACCTCCGAATGGCTCCATAGATCGAGGACGTTTGTTGGGAGGATCCACTTCCTCTGGTTTGGTTCCTTCCATTTGATCTGACTCCTCGGTCTTCTTGGCATCGATTTCCAATCCCAATGAACCTGCACAGTTTCTTAAGACACTTTGGAGCTGCAATCTCATTGTCTCCTCTTCTTTGTCCACAGAGTCCTCTACTGTCTCTTCTGCATCGATGGTCACAATTGGTGGCTGGGCAGCAGCCATTGCTGCTGAGGATGCAGTGGCACCTCCTGCCGTGTAGCTGAGCTGTTGGATAATACGGCTGGTTGCCGTGATTTCGCTTCTCGCTTTGGCAGCCTGTTCGGCCAAATTGGCCTGATGTTTTCGATACTCTTCCAATTGTTGCTCCCATACCTGAATCCCTTGGGCAAGATGCTTCATCCAGAGAGAGCGGTGCGCCCTTCGTTTGTCGGTGACATCTCCTAGATGTTCTTTGACCTTGCCGAGGTAGGTGGAAGCTTGATGGAGGTTCTTGATACCACGTCGACCGTACTCTTTGTCGGTCTTGTCTACAAGTTTCTTTGTCTCTTCCGGCATCGTGGAAGGATCTGGATATGCCTTCCGGAGAGCCTCGGCCCACTCCTGTCGTTCCGCAATCAAACTGGAAGCACCAGTCAACGCAAAGGGACTCGGAGTCAGCGAGGAGGATGGAGTAAAGGCCGTCGAATCCAGAGCAGGCCAAGCGGCAAAGCCTGTTGAATCTGTCTGAAACGGTGAGGCCTGCGCTTGCTGAGTGGTATTCTTGGTCTTCCCTTTTCTTCCTTTTCCTTTGGCTTTGCTCTGTGACTGCAAAGGCATCTGATAATTGTAATCCTGATAGTCCTGGCGATATCTTGTGGATGATCTGCTTGCCGAACGAGACTGACCATTGTCCCATTCCTCCCAAGCCTGTGAGCTCCAATTGTACTCCTCCTTCGGTTTTGGCTGTGTCGGATGACGTGTGCCTTCTGACCAAGGGGAGTAACAAATTGCGCACTCGACTGCCCACTTTTTGTTGATCCTGCCACAATGGCAGCGCCAGGGGTAATACTCCTGATTGGCATCCGAGGAATCGTTCGCCATTGCTGCTTGGAGACGGCGAAGGAAACCTTGATCTCTGCTGTGATGCTTGCTGAGGGTCTTTTTGATTCGCAATAAGGCCACTTTGTTCAATGCAATCCACCCTTTGCGATATAGAAACCAACAGCGTCTGGCTTTCGAGCGATTCTTCCTTCCTTTCCGGCGAATAGTATTCTGACTGGGCGAAATCTTGCAAATTGGTAAAGATCACAATCAAAATGAGAAATGCAAGGAGGAAACTGCACATGTAACAGTGTCAGGTCCGATCCAAGGCTGGAATGGCACCTCTGTTAATGTGTTGTCCCCAATAAAAATCGGTGAAAGGCCACCGCAGAACCAGGAAGTGGAAGCAGAAAAATCAATACTCCACTGAATCCAGTCACGCAAAGGGCCCAATCCTCACAATAATAAATCCAAAGTCCACCAGCGCAAAGCAGTTAAGTGGAAATGAAAATTGAATCCAAATAAGCGAGCGGTGGCCAAGCAAATGGCAGCAGCGCAAATATAAATTTGAAGGCAAACAGAAATGAATGAAATCCGAGCACCCAGCAACCAGAAATCCAAATCAGTAAGCCCGTGGGTAAATCCAAGTCGCAAAGGAATACCCACTAAGGCGTATGGCGTCGCCCGATAGGAACAGCGTCCGAGGGGGGCTTAGATGACTTAGATGTAAAAAAAATGATACAACTCTCCTTTGGACTTGGAGGTGCCAGATGGCAACAAACACACCCAGCCGGATCAGCTGGTATGTTGCCAATCACTATGTTTGTGAAGCTGATAATTCATAAGGAGATAAACATGATCAAAGGGATATGGATAGCCCCAAAACAAATATGGATGGACTATGATCATCATCCACTTACCATCTCCCCAGCTCACATAGACCCTGGTCAGTTTGTTGGTTGGCGTACGGTTAATGCGTTTCTTCATATATTACTAACAGGGTATATCGCAATATATGAGGGGTTTTAACTTTTAACATGGCTGTAAGTTATAAACCATATTACAACCACGTTACCTTTAGATTTGTCAAGGCTTGCAACCTCTCAACTCACTAAAATATCGCCAGGCGTCGCCACAAATGCGCGCCCACTGCAAGCTGCTCGCGCAGCGCGGCACGCGGGGAAGCTACCCTGCGAACAGAGTGACAGCCTAGAAGGAGCCCAACCAACATAGACTCTGCCATGACCCTGCCATGACTTAAAGGTTCTAAGATCACTTTCATCTAAGGACTGGCAATCTTCGAGGCCTACCTCTGGGTCAGAATTGTAGATGTTGCCAGGTGCCAAATATTGCGAGTCATGCTTAGCAACTCTGGGAAGATCTCCATGGAAAATCCAACAATGACAGCCTTCACATGGATGGTTAGAAGATCTTGCTTGGGGCCCTGTGGGCTGGGTGATTCTTTCAAAGACAACAAAGTGGATGCCAACAATTCGCATTTGTTTGTCATATTTGACCCATACCCACATCTCAATGTCCCAATGACCAGCCCCATTTTGGGGGCACTAACCTTTTGCATAATTACTCTTGCGTGGCACATGACACATGGTTATAGTAATGGTGAGACGGTTTCAGGATCTCTCTCTCTCTCTCTATTTCCTTTTATCAATCCACTTATGACTCGTATAAATATACTTCCCTTGGGTTTGGCCACAAAGCAATCCCAAAGCTGGTGACGTTCCGATCCATTCCCAGGCTTCTTGCACTTGGGATCCTCACTCCATCGTTCTTTTGATCCAGTCGCTTCATCCATGGCAATTCCCGATGGAGACAGGTTGGGAACTGGTTTTGCAACCCCACCAGAGCTGGGAATACATCAATACTTACCCTCCAGTAAACTAACATAGCTGTGGAAATGCACGGGGTTCCCTACTACAAATGGTTCGCCTTCATATCTATCAGTCTATTTGCTAGCGGGTACCAACCATTTAGCGCTGTGAAAGGAAAGCCTTCCATAAACAGCAAGATATCTATCCACAACAAATTCCTAGAATTTATACCGCGAAGTTGCCAAGTTACCCTGTTGCTCCAAAATCTTGCTACATTTTAGTTGTAATGTGTACTTTGAGGTCAATGTTGATTCCCTTTAGAGATCCATGTGCATCCACACCCATACATGGAACCTCGCTCTCTCTCTCTCTCTACGTTTGTGTCTGGCTACTGGCTACCCCCCCATTGTGACTTCTGTCTAATCCGATGCATAGTGATGCGTGGTTCAGTCACATCTCTAGGCCAAGAAGTTCCGAGTTGCCACTGTGTCGGTGGTCATTTCAATCGCTTAGACTTTTAGCGCTTCCCCATCTGGCTTCCTGAAACATGCCACTTCCTCTTGCTGGGGGTGTTGAGCATTTCTCTGGAAGATACAGTACCCCAACTAAAATTACATGGCATTGCGTATGCAGGAGCACATTAACCCTCGAAGCGGGTGCAATAACCAAACGTTTTGACATGCACATTTCTATGGATGAATTGAGAGCCTAATAATTCGTCTATTTTCTGAATATCCTCATGAACACTGGACACCCTCAATGCGCTCCATCCCCACCTTTTCTGTGAGGATCGGGTGATGTGAAGCTTCCAGCACAACAGTTAGCAGCCCAACGTTGGAAAAAACAATCCATCCCCTGATGTGTGGGGCTTGACAGGTCATGAGGTATGTAAGTTCTATGTCAAAAAAGTAAGTTCCCCTAGAACCGCGGGGAGTTCCTGTTTTAGTCCCCATTCTGGCAGTTTGAGTTTCCAGCTGATGACAATCCCAATTCTTTTATTAAAACAGGTCAACTCCCCAGTTTTTCGTTGGCGAAAAAAACGGTGAATCCACTAAATCCAGGGGTCAAATCCCCCCACGGATGTTTTCATTGGTTGAAGTCACCAGCGGCTTAGCCCGCGACAAATCGCTGGATCTGCCGGTGCGGCAGAATCCTCGGCGAGGCCCGGTGATTGGGTGGATCATTTTCGGATTTTGCCGGATTTGCCCGCTGAAAATATCTCAAAATCAGGTTTTTATGCGGGATTTGGATGGATTTAGCCACTCCAAGTGAGATTTCATTACCAAATGTGGTCATAAGGTTCATAGGTCACACTAGCTATATAAATCAAAATCAACCTTTCGTTCCACCGAACGAACCCCGCTCGCCCGGCGCAAGACGAACACGGCACCTGAACATCTTGCAGCAAGGATGACCTCGGCAGTGCCCCACACAGTAAGGATTGAGAGGTCAGGTCCGTGATTAAGAGATATGAAGCAATTCACATGTTGAGCAATTCGACGCTTAGTCAGTTGTACTTGACACTTAGTCGGTTGTACTTATAGTACTTGTGTTATACTGTGATTACTACACACTCCCCAATTTCAACATGGAACTGCATGCTATTCCAGAGGTATGCTAACATGAACCTATGGCACGGTCTCAAGTGATACTTACTAAGTAGATCTAAGTAGCAAGAGGTCTAATTTCTAGCTGTGTCGATTCCTCGGTTCCTTCAATGGCAGCCACTGATTTGGTCGAGACCCCTTTGTGCTGAAAGCCGAGCGCCATACAGAGCCGTGGTGTGAATGGCATGCCTTTCCTGGCGTTACGACTGGCCAACTTCGGCTGGGCGAATGGGTTAGGTACCTTTTTTTTGACCTGGAAATGCTTCGTCCCTATGGGGCTTACCACTGTTTTTGGTCTGGTGCCCCAATAATGGGTTTATATGAGATGGTATACAGTATCACTCATGTCCTCTTATAGCTTGTGGCTTCGTTTTGTCCTGTTTCAATTACATAATCATCAATTGCTGTTGTTGTTTTGATTACTATCCCTTTTTTAGGCTTTCTGACAGAGGTTTTGCCTACCACAGGTGGTGACCCACCCTTCTGCCCCAACTTAGCTATCGACCGGTCGCACCCACCTTGCCTATGTAATATTACATATAGTGCTAATCCGATACATATTCTTAGCTATAAACAAACAAATACATAAACAAATCAATAGATAAATAAGTGAATAAATAAACAAATTCATATATATATATATGAGTTGTATCACAAAAGAGAGAGAGAGAGATTACCTGACAACCGATTGAAAAAAATCGTAGTAAGCCCCATGGCACCTCCTCCCCCAATTGGGCCACTTGCAGCTCTGGCCAGGAGAGCCTCTCATCAAGGGTCCCGTAAGCATGGACGATGAGATCACCAGAATATCATATACCCTCTGGTAAACGTTTACAGTTTGCTATTGAAAATGACCCAGTCGAAATTGAGTTTTCCCATTAAACATGGTGATATTCTACAATTACAGTAGTTATGATGGCCATTTATAGTTGATTTACCCATTAAAACCTCTATTTATAGTGGATTTATCCATTGAAAATGGTGGATCTGTCCATAGTTTTTTGTAAACGTTTACCAGAGGGTAACCCCTGTTGGGCCATGCCTGTTGGGCTTTTGCGGGTCATCCAATGCCCAAAGGTTGGCACGGTTGGCACCATTGGATGTGCCATCCCAAATAGTGAGCGGGTCATAACTATCTCAGAATCCAGTTAAGTACATGTATATAAACATAAAAGAGCATGTACAGTTATATAGATATATGTGATATTTATTGATATTTAATATATATGATATGTATATATATATATATATATACATAGAATTATATAGATAAGGGCCACACAATGCCACACATGTTTTTTCTACAATGTTGGCAAAGCAACAATGAACAACTCCCATTTGGGGATTGGTAAACATATGCCCTTCATAGCACCTTACCACAATAAAAATGCGATTTCTTTGGGATAGTTTATGGATGTTTATGGCATTGGGGCTAGACCTAGGTTGGACTCTGAGTAGTTGCTCCAGTTGGGGGCCTAAGCAGCTCGCCCCCGGTGTCAAAGGCATGCCCAACAGCCAGCAGCACAGCGCCACCTGCAGGGTTGCGGGGTTGGAAGATATTAAAGTATTTAAGTAACCGAGCCACAAGCAATGGATGATTTTATATGTTGAAACAAGTCCAAACAATGTTAAAAGCGAAATTGGATGGTTTTGTGATTTTATATGTTGAAACAAATCCAAACAATGTTAAAAGCGAAATTGGATGGTTTTGTGATGTACTGGCCATTTTGGAGAATTCTTGCTGACTCAAATGTCTACTGGCTTGTAACACGCAAGATGAGGGGTGTAGGGATGAGAAGGGCATGGCCCACCAAATGGAATAAAATTATATAGAAACACAAATTTTCGAGAGCTCTACAGCAACACCACTTGTGGCTAGCGCTGTAATCACCATTTGTTGGTATATATGTGTCAAACATATTTGTTGCGTTTTGTCAATATATATATATATATATATATATCATGATCTGAAGTATGTTCCTTCTTTTTGATGGCCATCTGTGAAGACTGCCGAAACGCTGTTGTGCGTGCGTGTGTGTGTGTGTCAGAAGAAATATTATTATGTATATATATATATACATGAGAACTTGTATCTATTAAAAAAAAATACATATATACACATACATACACTCTGTATATTATATATATATATGTGTGTGTGTTGTCCTACTTGTTGTTCGACTTGTTTCACCCAATGGAAATGAACGAATCAAATTAGCAATCCACCATGACCAGTTCTGCCTGTGCTCTCCACCACAGCGCTCGCAGCACCCAAAGCAGGCAAGGTGCAAAGGCCTGGAGGCCACATGGCCAGCTTGGATAACAAAAAGTTTGTTAGTCAGTACTAAGTTGGCGGTTTCAACCCCTCTGAAAAATATTAGTCAGTTGGGGTTATTATTCCCAATATATGGAAAAATAAAAAATGTTCCAAACCACCCACCAGGTACAGTTGACTCGCTTGTTACCTTCTTAGCTTCTTAGACAACTACTTATTTTGTTAGTTAGCTAGTTCATGCTAGTTCTGTATTGTTTAAGTACATTTATGCACATGGAGGCATTGTGTGCCCTGTAAAGTGCTATTCATTTCCCCTCTGCTTAAATACTTCCTAAGAAGGTACGGCGAACCCGCTAAATCATACCCTATTCAAAATCCCTGAGAAGGCCCGGCTGGCCCGGGGAAAACATCAATGCAGCCAAAGCAACTTCTGCCCAATCCACATGAGATCAGGTCAAATCATACCCACCAATTTTATCCAATTATCATGTTTTCTTGATACTTCAAGTTCATCCGTGTCTGGACTTGGGCATAAGAAAGTACATGCGCCCAATATGGAAGAAAAATATAAAGAAACGCATTGTAGTCACTATAACAACCCCCAAACAAATAGAAAGCAACATCCTACTAGCTACTGGAGGTACAATGCTACTGACCGGACCAAACTAGGTTATCCTTATCATGTTGGTTCTTCTCTATCATCTGGTCAGATGATCGATTCCAGCCCTACATTTGTCCGCAACAAAAAAAAAAAAACCATGCAGCAATCCCTGCGCGAAGAGGAACGACATGAAACAAGACCAAAGGCCTGAACGGTAACAACGCCAAAATCCTCCATGTATGTCAATGTATGATTCCTATCATGCAAACATCACTCCAGGGCAGGCACAATTCTATCCTAGTCTATCCTTCCAGTCATGTAAGAAATGTAACTTGTGTCTTTAGGGACAATCATGGCCAACCTTGGACACCCTGCATTTTTAACTGCTTTGGGATGAATATACCCAAAAAAGAACCGGGCCAAGGGAGAGCTCGTAATGCGTTTAACCCAAAAATAACGCTAGCATTCGAGTTTTATTATCACCCGTTTATGGCGATATTGATGATATTGGAGATGGTTTATGATTGCGTTGGCCAAACTATGACAAACAAAAATGATAGTTCAAGGCTTTGAAGATCTTTACATGTTATGACTGATGGTGCAAATCATCCCACTCATGGTATTGATAACATATCAGATTTGATATAATTCATCAAAAGTGGGATTTTACTTTACTAAATCTGAGATATGTAATTATCAAGTATCAAATATTATCAAATCAAAAAATGAATAGGTACATATTCAAATCATAAACTACCCATCAAGTTGGTTTCCCTTTTTTTTGCATGGCCACACGTGGCCCTTGGGCCATCCAATGCCAGGAGACGTTCCGCAGTTTGCTCATGGCCCAGGACAGCAAAGAGCGCTTCAGAAGACACCTCCGTTGTGGAAAAGGGAGCTGGCTTTTTGCACAGTTTCATCATTTCAATCCACCTGAATAATATATGATATGAGTTATAGTTATGGATCGTTATGGGGTATCGTCATCCCGAATGCAGGACAAAATCGTTGAAACCAGCAACGACTTTTTAAGATGGTTTCCATCCGACGCGTTCGGGATTGCAAACCACAAGTTCATTATCTAATAGGGGGGGATATACTATTTTGGTGATAAAAGGCTTATTTTATAGGTGGACTTTAAATATGGGATGTGAGAAGGGCTTGAAATGTGTAAAACCACTTGGGAAGAATTTGCGGATCTGAATTTCTGAATGGCATTCCGTGAACTGGTTTGCACTCTTCATTAACTTCATTATGAGTTCTGCGGTTCTTTGGATACTGAAGATTCCCCAAAGATTTCGGATGAGGCCCCGACGGCCACCGCTGCAGTGCCGTGCAAGCCCAAGCCTGCTGGACCTTGGACGAACATGGAGGACTTCACTGGGGTTATACGGGTTGGGGATGGTTGGGGAATCTAAGCATCAATTATAGGGATTACCCTCTGGTAAATAAACTTGTTGACCCTGAAAATCACCAATTTTTAATGGAAACTAGTCTTCCAACCCCGATGACTGCCAGGGTCTATGTTAATTTACCAGAGGGTAAATCATGAGAATGTGGAATTTGAATGATATGGTTTGATAGCGATTTCACCATGGAATGGTCGAAGAACTGGATACCCCTAAATCCGTTTGTTCATCATGATATCATGTTGTTCATCATCATGCCGTTCATCTTCATGATATCATGATATTCATCATCATGGTATCATGATATCATGCTATTCATCATCATGCTTCCCCTTAGAGTTGACATTTTGGGGCGTCCCGTCATTTTCAGATAGACTCATAACACTGATAGATGATAGATGATGTAAGCCAACACAAGCCAACATCAACCCAACATTGGAATGTTAAAAGGAATTGGCTAGAATATCCATTGGAAAGTCAAGGAAGAAATTGACCAAAACAGTTATATAATTTTGATTAATTTTGTATAGATATGGGAAATTATGGGAATATGAGCAACATAAATGCACATTGCCCATCCATCAGACCTCGCAAATCAAAATGGTTTTGGTGATCTTAGATGCAGCAGCAATGAGGTTGCATGCCTTTGATTGGCACAGCTGCAACAATGATCCACAATCACATGCTAGAACCTGAAAAAAAATCACCCACATCGCAACATCCTGCAACCAAATCAGAAAACAAAGGCATCTGCCTGGTACAACTTGGTGCCCCCAGATATATACCCTCCGGTAATTTGACGTAGCTATTGAAAATGGCAATTTATAGTGGATTTTCCCATTAGAAATGGTGATTTTCCATAGCTATGTTACATTACCAGAGGGTATGTTTCTTGCTTCATCTAGGCGCAATAAACCCTGGGCATCACATCAAGCCCTGGGCATCACCTTGCTGGGCAGCCCGGCCCCGGACTTTACATGAAGCCTTGGTGACATGGTGACGGAGAGAAATTTCCGAAACCATTTTTGGGGGAAAACCATGGAGGAAACCCATGGGTTTTGGTATTAATGGTGATTTAATGGTGATTTAATGGGATTCAATTTAATGGGATTCAATGGGATTTAATGGGATTTAATCGGATTTAATGGGATTTAATGGTGATTCAATGGGATTTTCAACCTTGGAGACACCTGTTTTCCTTTGCGTGATGAAATGGAACACTTCGGGATGAACCGTGTGATTATGTGTGATTCTTTGACACGCCAGGCAGGAAAAATGCGTCATTCGAAACCTTGAAGTGGATTTGGGTGATTTTGTTCTTTTAATATCACTTTTATTCTGCAACATTTTCCAACATAGCGCCCCTGCACATGGCACACGATGGATGGTTTTCTGAGATACCCTGCAGCAGCAAGCGCCAAGACACCGTGATCAGGCCTGTTAGAAGGGGGTGTCCCCACCTCATTTTCCCACCAAATCCTAGTGAAAAAGGAACACATACTTCCTCACCTGGGCAAACACATGATTTAAAAACAGTTGCCCCATGTTATGTTGATGTGGGTATAGCCGGTATGTGTCAAGATGTGTCACTCCAAATTGGTGGGTCTCGCCGTCTCGAAATGCCCACGTGTTCCCCCACCACTGACCTAGAAAAAGACTCATGATTTAAGAGTTGGCGTACCAATGTCCCTTTACTCACAAAGTCTTATCGTGCTGAGCACCTGGCAAATTCTTGGTTTAATAGTCAAGGTTTGCAATCTTATGTCTATTCTCATGTTTAGGATTTAGCCAATGGTTGGTTTTAGAATTTTGCCAAACTAAATTATCATGCTGGATTTTTAGACATAGAATTATATAAATGTGCCTGGCTGTGCAGCATGTGTTTACCCTACGGTAGTCAAACATGGCAATAGATTCAATAGAACATGTCCAATTCTTAAGGAATTGTCCCATCAAAACCTCCATTTAGTTCGGGGATTTTCCAGCCAGCCACGTTTGATGACACCGGAGGGTAACCATCAAACCACTATTCATCTTGATTATGAGCCATGATTAACTACTATTAACAATGATTAATCATTATCAACTATTGAGAGTTAACTATTAGAGGAAACTTTCCACGAATAGTAACGACGAATCACCATTATCAACTATCATTTAACCATCATTTAACCATCATTTAACCTTCATTCACAATGGTTCTCCTCCTGAGTCTCTGCCGGCGCCTTTGGTTTGTTGCACTTTGGCTCATGGCATTGAAGCCTCGAGGAAGTAGTTTGCAAGCAAAGAGAACCACTGGGTTCTGTTCAAGAGAAAAAATCTAGCGACCTGCCCATATTTTCGAATATGTATACATATGTATATATATATATATATGGGATATGATATGACTTGATATGGGATGAGATTAGATGAGATATGAGATGATATATATATATATATATGCATGCATTAAACTTCAGAATTTACTCGGGCGAATGAGGTACAACTAGAGTCGAACTAGAGTTAGAAATTGTATTTTTTTTGTTTTCCATTCAAGCCTGGGAAGGAAACAAAAGGAGATAAGAGAAACTAAACACCCCAAGTTGGGAGAAACTAGGATATGCTGAGCTTGCAACTTTGAAGCAGCAAGAAGCTGCAAAACTGCAGTATGGAATTCAATTGCATTTCAAAGGGATTTGAATAGTTATAATGTTATATTTAGTTACGATATACGACGCATTACATATTTTATGCAGTGCATATATGTATGTATATATATATAATATATATATATATGTATGTATATGCAACATATCATTTAGGACAACCGTGGTTTTGTCCAGGCCACCTGCCATCGGTCATGGTCATCCCACCATTGTGAATTCTGGAGCTGTGACCAACCACCGAGATGGGTATGTAAAATCCAACTTTTGACTATGGCACATATGCGTGCATATATATATATATATATGTACACATACATGCATATACATACTGTGGATGGAAGAAATCCTGCACCACCTGGGATGGTAGAAAGCCTGGAAATAATGGGATAAATCACCTATGAACTGGTGCAGGATTTCTTCCATCCACCGTATGCATATATATATATACATATGCATATACATATGCACATACACACATACATATGTATACATATATATATATACATACATATACATATGTATATATCTATATATGTGAGTGCATTATATATCAAATAAAAATATGATATAGAATATCGACTACCTGGGGTGAGGATGATCCTCCTTCCACGCCTTGTGATGTCTCATCTCTCAGCCACATGGGCACATCCGCTCCCAACGCCTCGGCTGTGACAGTCAAACGCTGTTGAATTTGCCGTTGTATATGGTTTAATCCCATCCCCCTAATATTATATACACCTCATGAATGGCCCCAAATAGTGGGTTCGTACCCTAATTACTATAATTTCGGGGGGGGGGTGTTTAATATTAGGGAAAGTGATTACTAAAGGATAGACCAAAATCATAATCCAATAGTGGAACATCAATATGGCAGTGGTTCAAAATCACCAGCGCACTCAAACTCAAATACTCATGCTGAAATAGGGTCGTTGGTATCAAACTCCTGGGGTCATACCTCTCTGATTTGATGCCGAAATATGCGAAGCCATTGAATCACGTATGCCTCTTGAGCATCCGAACCAGCTCAGCCAGTGCGCTGCACTTCAAGCCATGTCGCACCTGCAGGGGGTATTACAATGTCTGTAGAGTCATCAGCAACTGGTGACTGGTGGATGACTTGTCCACCTCGAAAATTAACCCCTCTTAGCCCTAGTACTATCCCCAAAAAATATGATTTATATACAAATTTTACTATATATATATATATATATATATGGCGACTGCATGGACTCAACATGCTCATCTCATCCAAAATTTCTGCGCCAGCCATAGCTCTTCCCAACTTCGGATGGCAAAGAATTCAGTGAACAATGGGATAAACCCAGGAATTAGAGAGAGACTATCACCACAGGGTCATTAACCACTTGTTGACTCTTGGTTCTAGTTGCTGTCTTACATATTTTTGCTTCAAAGATGGGTTCTTCTTTTTTCCCCATTTACCATCTGGTAAACTAACATAGCTATGGAAAATCACTATTTTCATAGGTAAATCAACTATGTTCATGGGTCATTTTCTATATGTTGAATTGCCAGAGGGTAACATACCATATTTATCCCATTAAACCATCATTAAATCGCAATTAAATCACCATTTTTCGGTAGGTCATTGATCCCCTTTTTTCGCTGCCTCAAACGGTGGCCCACCTGAAGGATCTGCACCTTGCCGTGGCCCCCGAGCAGCAGCACACCCTCCTGGCGGTGCGGACCTCGGGCGTTGCCAACGAAGCCAACGGTTGGCAAAAAGATGGTCGGCGTTTATGACTTACTTGTGCTGAAGGGAATGGGATGATTGTTTTTAAATTGCTAGTTATTGTAGATGATTCCTCCATTAAGCACCAGCAAAATGAATGCTGATATAGTTTCAATCCAACAATGCACCAGCCACAATTCTCAAGCATTTTGCGGGCAATCAAATGCTATTAATGATTCATTTCCAGCATCTTATGGTCCGTAATTGTGGACCCTGCTTTGACAGTCGACGGGTAGTTCTTTGGCCTGCATGCTTACGATGGACCCCTTTCAAAAGTAACAGCTTGGTATATACATCTCATCAAACTGGGTTTCACAGGTGTTTAAATGTTTCTATACTTTAGTTTCCTGTTCAAATTCGCGGTCTTTCCTCCACATATTTCCCATCGCACCCCAATTTCCTACCAACACGCAATTCTAAATAAAATATAATAAAATGCTATAAGAACTGAACTGATACAAGGTGGGCCTCCCCAGATAGCCAAAAGATGGTTCATAGCTATTAATATCTATGAATATCTATTGTTTTCTGCTAGATATATCCATAGTTCATGGTGATTACAAACCAACAAACATCACTGGAGGCTGGGGGGGTACCAGCTTGGCACCCCGACAGATGGCCGTCACCGCTGCAGTCAGCGCATGCTCGTGCTCCGCTGCCACGCCGCCGCCGCCGGAGCCCTTACGCAGGTCGTAGAGAAGCAGCGCAGTCGCCTCAAGGGCAAGATCAACAAGTGATCAACAAACGGAGGTTTCCTGAAGTGTGGGTACCCCAAAGCCATAAGTTTCAATAGTTCTAATAAGTGCTAAAATGATATATATATATATATATAACTTAGGATGATTTGGGGCTTTGGGGGTTCATTTTAGGAAACTTCCATTTGTAGATCTCATCCAGGAGGTCCAGCAATTTTCAGGTCAGCAACAAAAAAAACATGGAAATGGATGAACATATTTTCAGGTATCATCAATTATCTGGTAGAAAATTACAATATTTCAATATATTTCACTCACCTGAATTAAGGCCATTTCCTGTGGATGATTTCCCTTACCATTATTCCAGGGCTCGGGAGAACAGGGTTTGGTCGTGATTAAATTTACCCAGAATTATGGACATTTTTGGGTCAATCATGGTCAACAATCTTGGTCAACAATCATGGTCAATCTCAACGGGAACGTGTTCACAGGATCTTTGAAACGCTTCTGTGCATTCGAAGGATGGAGTGACTGCAAAGGATGCCAGCGTGGGATCAAATTGTGACTTAAGATGTAATATTCAGAAAGCCCGTATCCTTCAATGGCTTAAAAACATGGTTTCCTGATGTTTCCTGTAAGATGTTCCACAATTCCACTCTTTTGTCAACACTACACCACCTCACATCCTTCCCCCTGCGCAGGACCCCCCCGTCCGTTCGGGTCACATGGGCGGCCGCCAAAACATGAGCAAAGCTGGCGTGGAGGAAGCAACAGGCCTGTACCTGCAATTTCCCATTGTCAAGGCGCACTGTACACCCATCCAAATCACTGAAAAATTCAAACCGACAATGTGAAGTAACCGCAACCAAATACAGAAATTCAACCAACTGAACGGAAAGCAACAAAAATCAGAATTAGCATGGTCAGTCCATCCATGTCAACCTATGTCCACCCGTTGGTTTGGAATTTTGAAATTCTGACTCAATCATACCACAAGCCCATACAGTATCGACCTCTTTTGAGCGCCGGTGTCAAAGAACAAACACACCCGCAATGTCCCACAACTCACACACAACACCCTCTCAAGTTTCAGTTCCAAGTGGACTATGGACCAAGATCTATGAGCATTTATGAGCCATTTGGCTTGATTTCTTGGGTATTTTGACACCTTTCATAGCTGGCAACAAGGGACCCCCATCATTGGCTTCACAGGTGCAACGACCGCCATGGAACAGCGCACCAGCGCTTGATCCTCGTCGGTGGGGACGAGAGCCGTCGCAAAGGGCGCAGCCTCCAGACCTGTACCGATGAGACGATGTGAGCATTGAATGGGACACATAGGAATCTATGTATAGCTATGGAAAATGGCCATTTATAGTGAGTTTTCCCATTAAAAATGATTGGGGATGGCCGTCCTCCCTTGATATGGGGTTGATATACCAACTGTAAGTGATACCCTCTGGTAAAAGTTTACATAACTATGGAAAGATCCACCATGCTATTAATGGGAAAATCCACTATTTCTATGGTGATTTTCAATAGCATTCAATAGCTATGTAACAAATTACCAGAGGGTACATAGATCTACATGATACATCTTCGAACAGTTTTGAACATATGTGCAGTACATATATCTACCCTTGTAGATGTACAAAAGACTACAAAAGTACAAAATGCAAATCATAAAAGATCATAAAACATGATGGTTTGCTTCTTGGCATGCGCAAAAATAAGAGTGCCAAAACCTGATTGAATTTTGATGACCCAGCTTCACATGAATAATCTCCGCCTCGCGATGTCATCATCCTAACCATGGACACCACTCCGCATGAAACCAAGGCGTCCAAGGCCCAGGCTTTGCACGACAGCAATGTTAGCTAAGCCTCAGGGGGGGTCCCAGTCAAGCCTGACCTTTGTGGAAGCCTTGGGAAACCAAGGGTGGTGCCATCACACAAAGACCATCAAAGACCTCTCAAAAACATGTCTTCCAGAGAAAAACATGAAGAAAGGTACGTGGTTTGATATTTGAGTACCTATACACACACAGATATATATATATATATATATTATAACAATAACAATAATAAGAATAATAATAATAATGTATAATAATAATAATATTTTTATATATATATATACATACATATATGCAAAAAAAAAAACATATAATATATATATATACATATATGTATATTAATAATAACAATAACAACAACAATAATAATAATAATAATAATAAACATATATATATATGAAAAAAATACATACTATTTGGCGCTAAAACCTGTCCGACCATCATATTCATATTCAATTCAATTATCCAAGAATTTGGATATTATATAATTCATATTCAATCCGTCCCAGTCTGCACCGATCCATCGCCACGCCTGCCCCTGCCACAGCCAGCAGCGAGCCGGTCCTTGGTTGTTTTGTACCAGATTTCATGGGGACATACTGTGGATTGAAGACATCCTGCGATAGGTGGTTTCTCTCAGTAGGGCTTCAACATCCAAGGTGGTGCAGGAATTCTTCCACGGCATTGGTGGGTCTTTCATTCAATTTAGCACCAAAAAGTGATCCAGATACGTGAGTAGAGGGTGAGATCATGGTTTGGTTGTATTGAGGGGGGACCGTCACGTGTGACTTGTGAAGGAATCTGTCACTGCCGACATGCCGGCAAACATTTTTCACAGACTGGCAAACTATGGGCTGAAATACTCCTGGATAAAACTGGTTGGTTCGAACAAATGGGTCCTTCAGTCCAATTGACTAAGCATACTGCCCAACTTGTCAATTTAAATGTGACAGACCCACTTTTTATCTACCACGTTGGGGGTGATAGTCCACCACTAATCACCGCAATCCAGGCACAAAATAAAATGATTGAGTCACTGGGTTTTTCTGCATAATAAAGACCAACCATGGTTAAACAATAGAAACACCAAATATACTCTAAAACTTAGAACGCATGCCTCCGCTGAAACACTGTTCCTGAGACATCCCAATCCCAAAACCACTACACAACTTACTCCTGCAAGAGCCCATCCGCCAGGGAGCTCGTCGAAGCAAAGGCTCGGAAGGTGTGGTGGTAGCACCTGGCATCTCAATCGGTCCTCAAAACGTAGTTTATACCTCATTTTACACATCATGTAAACTACATAGTAAGCTACACAAACATGGGGCAACAAGTGCAAACATTACTGTAATATACTACAACCATCTATAACCCCACATCCCTCAACATCAAACACCAGCCCTCAAAACTAAATGGAACCCCTGGCCATTAGCCTGGCCTCTAAGTCCAACGGCAGCGCTTCTGAACCGGGAACAGCCTGGCTGACCGGGGCCGTTGCCCAAAGGGCACCTGTCATCCATGTGGACCTATGGCTAACCAGGAAATTTCAGATGGTGTTGAACATCTGAAACTGTGAATGAAATTGGTTTAAGTTTAAACAAAGAAAACACATGAAATGACTGCAGTATAGTTTTACCTACCTATATAATATATATATATATTATATTACACATATTATCATATTATTATACATCAGGTATACAGTATATTACATATGTGTGTTTTGTCTTGGCACCACTGTTCCATTACACTCGGAACTCGGAACCATGGGCATCCCACCCCACCAGCGGCACTTGCCAACTTTCTCCCGCCTGGAACACGAAGCATTCGCGCGCCGTGGCTGCGGCCATGTACACGCCCGTCTCCAAACCATCTGCGTCCTGGTGCGCTGACCGGGTGAGTTGGGATGACTAAAATGCCCAAAATCTACGGCCCAACATACACAGCACAAAGATGTTGTACATAGCAGCAGGATACACTCCTGATATCTATGAATCGTCTATGAATCTGTGAAGATTTTCTGTACTAACTTTGAGGCAGTCTGCTAGTCGGAGATCGCAGTCACACCACAATGTTACTCAGATCTATGGGATCTCCAAATACCCTGTGATGGGATCTTTGGTGAAGTGATGCGTCAAGCTGACAGGCTCTGCATGGCACTGCAATACCAATCAAGTAACCCAGTGGAAGGAAACAAATAGTGCGGGTTTAAGTCATCTGATTTTCATTGATTTTCCCTTGGCACAGTGTGGCTGTCGCATGGAACGCGCTCGACCAAAAACACGCCCCCTCGAGCATTCGCCAACCAGGTGCCAAAACGGTACCCCGTCATCTGCCCTGTCCGTGCAGGCCAAGGGTTCAGCAATGCTGGACAGAACCTGATCCAACTGGGGTTCCAATTTCCCTAAAAATACTCCAACCAAAAGGATGGATAGTGAAAGGGACCGCAGATTTGACTTTGATGTCCTGTGGCTGATGAATCGCCAAGAAGGCAGAAGGGAAACTGATGGAAACTGATCTTCAATAGGGCAGAGTAGGTTCAGGTTTTGTCCATCAGCATCACTACAGATTCTGGAAATTTGTACAGCCACAATCCTTCTCTGCAGATTGGCGGCAATTAAGTGCAAAAGGCCAAGTGCCTGTCTCCACTGACCGACCGGTGTGCCGGGCCATATGTTTGGAAATGTTTGGAACATGGTCGGCACATTGAGCTGATGACACAGTACATGGAACATGATCGTAATGTTGCAGCAACACTATGTACCCTCTGGTAAACTAACATAATTATGGAAAATCACCATTTTTAATGGGAACATCAACTATAAATGGTCATTTTCAATAGCTATGTTAAATTACCAGAGGGTACTTACTCTGGCTTTTTCGCACCGAAACTGTTGCCAAAACATCTGAGCCGAGGCATTTTTGAATATGATAGTTGATTCCCCCAATATGGGTTTGTCTGAAAATAGGGTATATTCCCAATTATAGCCATTTAATAGGGATAATGATCATTAACCATTGGGTTTAGGGGTACACTATTTTCAGACACACCCATATCATCATGTATGGCAAGGAGGTTCAAGGTCGCTGAATGGATAGGGATCAAGACCAAGACATAAAGACCTGCAAGATCGTCATCAGTTGCGCCCAATCGGTCGAATAATTTCCGTGCATCGAAATTGGATGGATACCAACCAAGCTGTTTCTGCCTGAGAGTGGAGCATTGCTCAGGAAATGACCAACCTGGCCATTCTTTTGTTTCTCATTGTACTCTCTGGTAATTGAATAGAACTATGGATAATCACCATTTACAGAAGCGGCACGAAATTGAACTAAATGGGCCATGTATACCAGATGTATACCATAGCTATATGTCAAGCCGCGGACTCCTCCTTAGCGAAAATTTGAAAGATATGGTCTTCGTGGAACCACTATTGGTTTCCTGTTTTGTTTTTTGAATTTCCAACGGTTGGGTCAGCCATTACTCCACTCTGGCTCCCGGGGCCGCACTGCTGGAGCAGTGCCAAGTGAGCGGTGACTTACCCTGAAAATCTCCTACTTTTAGTGCAAGCTTCCGACCCCCCTTTTTCGCAGGATCTATGTTAATTGATGTTAATTAATTAATTGAATTGAAGGGATGGTATAGCTCATGCTGGTACCTACTTGGCAACAACAGCACTAAGCTGAAAAGAGGCACAGTCAACATCAAAATGCACTGCAGCATGAGGTTTCCGCATCTTCAGATTGATGCCCTCTGTTCATACAAACTGATTGACAAGGATCTTAATCACCCATATCGCGACTTTATATTATTAGTTATAGTTATTGCTGTTTCTCTGCTCTACTCAAATGGCTGCCAACCATTGGCCCACTACTTTATTGCATTTATTTGCTGATTCTTTGTGTTTCATCACACCGTCAACCACATTCTTTCTCCAGTCAACATATATCTCGCCATGTTTCAATAAACATCATCAATGGGCCGTTGGCCCAGGGGCATATGAGCTTAGCCTTAGCAGTCTAAAACATGTTTTCCCCATTGGCTCACTCTGATCCGACCCCCCGACAGGTCGGCTACGGCATGAAGACGGTGATCCGGTCGCGCACCGCTTGGCGGCACACGGGGCACTGCGACATGCGCCGGGCGCAGCCTTCGCAGCAGCACAAATGGCGACACCGGAGAAGCACCTGGGGAGTTGACCAGGAGTCCAACCATTCCAACCGGAAATAACATGGGGATTACCCTCTGGTAATTTAACATAGCTATTGAAAATCACCATTTTTAATGGGAAAATCCACTATTAATGGTCATTTTCAATAGCTACGTTAAATTACCAGAGGGTAATAAGACATTATAAGACCATCTTAGAATCCAAATCTAACCATTTAAGGCCATATGGATCCAATTGGGGGATAGCCAACCATTCAAAATGCTGATATTTGTAGTTGGATAGAATAAAATTAACCCAGGACAATATCATAAAACATCATAAAACCATCAGTATCATTAGTTTAAAAATGGGGGATACCAAATGATCACCATTTTGGGGAAGCCGTGCCCTCTAGTTGGCCAAGGATGAGAGATACTGATACCAAATCAACCAGAAACCCAGGCACCGTGTTGGCCAAGCGATCCAGGCATGCGACACAGGAACGATCACTGACCTCGCTTGGATGCCCCAATCAGCACATGAAAAATCTGTAGAATATGGGCCAGTAAATCATTCCATTGATATGGTTTCCATATGGTTAGTAGGGTTAGTATAGGGGAATCATCCAATTCCTTGCTTTGGCTGAATTTCTAAGTCACTAACCTGACATGTTGGGCCATTTGGGGATGATTCCCCTGTACATTCACCATGGTTCCAGGGTTCGGTCGACGTGAGGTCAATATAAGTTGCCTGCATATTTGCCTATTAATAAACCTCCAATAAGATCCAAGAAGGGTATATTCATACCACCTGGTGGTCATCTACCCTTTGGTTATTTCTTACATAGCCATGGAAGCCATGGCCCATAGAAATAGATGGTTTACCTATTAATAGCATGGTGATTTTCCATGGCTATATTAGTCATAACCAGATGGTAAAACATGAATGATGTGTTGGACGAATGACGGTCCATGATGGTTTAAGGGCGAATCTTAACCACCAAATTTCAGCGACGCTGGTTGCTGTTGTTGTTTTGGGGCGGTGATAGCATGAAACCACGGCCATCTAGACCTAGATGTGTATCCCAGCAGATGGTTTCTGATGTATCATAATGGTGCAATTTACCCACATGCTTACTTGATCTTAGTTGAATATAATATTCTATTCAATTCGGTTCATTCTAAACGAAACATTAAGACACTGAAAGTAATGTTAATCGTACATGTGTGACAACTTGAGTTTACAAACAAACTTCAAACATGCTTAGCACCGTATTTTTGTGCCGAGGCTTCCAACACTTTGCCCTAACAACATCTACAACCGTATTTACCCATCCCAGGAAGCCCTGGATTAGACGGAGCTACATCCCCCCCTCACCACATGGGACTCCCAACGGCTTCCACCTGTTGCGATAGAAGCTGTGACCGCTCCTGCTCCAGTGACTGGATCCTCTGGAAAAGTTGCCTGCGCCAAAAAAGTTCACCATACCCTTTGGTACGGTACCACTGGAATATCATCATTTTAATAGGTATGTGAGTTAGTTGAATCATCTACAACTTCATATAGTTTCTATTAAAATGATGATATTCAGAATATGCCATACTAGGTGGGTATTTTATTGGATTTACTGCAGGGTAATTGAATCATCTATAAATGAGCCATGTTCAACAGCTACGTTAGTTTACTGGAGGGTAATTAAATTGGATGATAATGGCTTGCAATCATACTCTTTATGTTTTAAACACCTCCCATTCCATGGTCCCAAATCTGTGTTTAATAGAAGGGCGAAGGGATTATTGTGGAGAGTCATCCGTAAATGGCCTTGCAACAGTTTTGGGAATTCAAGAAAAGTACCCATATGTACACACTGTCAGTAGTTCAAAGATGTTCAATGCTGGCTCCTCTTGAGATAAGGCCAAGGAGGCCAAAAAATGATGGACACCCGGGTGGCCCGGAGGGCCTCTTCACCAAAAGCAGTGCTTCAACCTGACGACTTGGCATTGAGTTGGGATGGGGACCCTTCCCCTCTGGTAAACTAACGTAACTATGGAAAATCACAATTTTTAATGGGTAAATCCACTATAAATGGCCATTTTCAATAGCAAACTGTTAGTTTACCAGAGGGTAACATGGGCAGCCTTTCTCAGTGCAAATTGCAGGTCTGCACCTGATCTCCGAGCTCTTGAGTTTCCGCATCACTCATGCGACGTTGACCTTGCAGTCCTTCGTAGGCCCTGGCAGGCAAAATGGGCATGGCAGCAGGGATAGGAAGCAAAATGAAGCAAAGTGCCTAGGGATTTAAACCCAGGGCTCCAAAAAAACCTATTTGGACCCCTGAAACTCAAAAACCTACAGGAGGTCAGTGGATCAAGGTCAAAACACAATCAACTCCTGGTCCTTCTGTCCGGTACGTGAGTGAACTAATCACCCATAGCCGCATTCAATCCACAAGTATCTTTCAGCACCAGTTTTGGGGCCACACCCAAAGAATATTTATAGTACATCAAATCAACTTTTTGATGGCTTAACTATCATGTGGTTGGGAAATTCGATTCGCATCTCCAACAGGTTCCCCAATACAGCAAGGAATGTGGATACCCTTAGCTCCGAAAAATCGACCATTTATCATTGATTTTTCCCAGCTCGAAATTGCCAGTTCTAGAGGATGTTGCATCAAATCAACATTTCATAGCTAGCTAGGTCATCATCAATCAAACTAAATGGACCACATCTGATAGATGTATTACATTTATGGATGTTTCGACCATATTTTACCACTATAACCGAAACATGTTCTCGTGGATTTCCCACCTGGAGAGTTCCGCGTCCAGGAAGCTTGTGCGGCTGCGCTCGCTATCAAGGCTCGCCTATGCACAAGGTTTTTTTTCTGGCTGAGGCTGATAATAGTTCTTACCAACTATTCAATATGGTGGTTAATACGTAGGTGGTTAACGGTTAATAGTTAACAATGAATAGTGCTGGTTAACAATAGTTAACAATGAAGAGTGAATTGTTAATGTTAACATTGTTAATCATTGTTAATACGAATTCACAATAGTTAATGGTCGTTAATGATAGCTCAGCCTCAATGGTTAATAATGGTTAATGGTGGTTAATAATGGTTTAATAATGGTTAATAATGGTTTAATAATGGTTAATAATGGTTTAATAATGGTTAATAATTGTTAATAACGGTTAATAATGGTTAATAATGGTTAATAATGGTTAATAATGGTTATATATAATAATGGTTAATAATGGTTAATAATGGTTAATAATGGTTAATAATGGTTAATAATGGTTAATAATGGTTAATAATGGTTAATAATGGTTAATAATGGTTATATATAATAATGGTTAATAATGGTTTAATAATGGTTAATAATGGCTAATAATGGTTAATAATTGTTAATAACGGTTAATAATGGTTAATAATGGTTAATAATGGTTAATAATTAATAATGAATATTGTTGAATACTAGTTACCCTACTGTGTCATCAAACGTGGCTAGCTGGGAAATCCCCTAAGTAAACGGAGGCATTGATGGGAAAATATGGGAACATCACCTATAAATAGGATTTTTTCATTTCCACCTTTTATTACCGGAGTCCAGTCAGTTGAAATGGGGTGGAAAAGGGCAGACATGGTACATCCTCCACCTTTGCATGCGACTTTTTCCGCCCACAGCGTGTTTTTCCTTGTGCCAGAGGTGTGGGGATGTTGGGTGGGTATGGGTATAGTATGATCCCTGAACTTGGTGAATGATAGGTTTGTGGATAGAAAAGCCAACAGAGCTAGGTTTGTGCCATTATATGTTATATTTGATTTCAATTATCTTGGTGGCTGGTTAAATAGCAGAATATATATATATATCGTAATATATACGTGTATATATATATATAAACATATATATATATATATATATACACAGCACCGGCCGGCCACTCATACACCTACGGCTTTCAAGCATTTTCAAACACCATTGTTTGAGTGGTCTTTGCTATATCAACACCACCTGATGTTGTGTACCACTATGCACAAGGATCGACGATTTGCTTTCAAACCCAGGTTACGGCCAAAAGAGCAGTGACATGCTTTTCTTTTCATCCCGAAACCTGCACTAAACACACATCACGACAGTATTTGCAGAAAAGCGACACATGTCTCCCCGCGAACACACAACATGCTCCTATTACCCTCTGGTTGTTTAACATAGCCATGGTATAGATGGCCCATAGAAATAGATGGTTTACCTATTAATAGCATGGTGATTTTCCATGGCAAACTGTTAGTCATAACCAGAGGGTAACAGACCCGTTCAACGAAAAGCCCAACCTGTAGAGCTCGGCGCCGGTCCATTTGATGCTCCAATTCCTTGTGCAGCTGCTCCATCTCAGACCGAAGACGTTCAAAGTCCTTGGATTGGACACGTGACGTGGCTGGGGTCGTACGTCTTCCAACAGGCGAAACTGAACATATGGGCAATACACCAAAAATTGGCTAATTTGAATTAATTTGATAGTTTTAATAGATCAAACAATGATTAACATTGATTAAACATGATTTTTCACAATAGATGTGGGGATTCCCATGGATTCCCCACATTTTCAGACCAACGGATAACAAACGGTGGTCCACCTGCCTGAAGAGGTGGTCCAGCAGGGAAATTTGGATGTGTCTATGTGTCGGAATCTGAACATCTTTGGAAGCAAAACTGTCACGCCAAACAAGCATTTAAATTGAGATCCATGTAGCAGTGGTGCAAGACCACTAAACTACTAAACCATATCTAAACCACTTGTGGCCTAGGTGGTTTGGAATCTGCACCACTAGCCTTGAAAATCAGTTCCCGGCAAAAACCACAAGAACTCTGGGGTTGCAGCTCTTTTGGAGATCGTTTCCGTTTCCGTACGGTGGAAACTGGTGCTCCACCAACGGAGGTTGGGTCCAGCGCAGAGTCTCAACACCCACCCACCCAGGATGGGAAACCCGGGCAGAGAGCCAGCGGAGATCGAGGTGAACCCAACCTTTTGCACAACTATAATAATCGCAGAGCTTTCAGCCAGTGAATCTGCACCACATCAGCTTTGGTACCTGTAGCTTTGGGATGACAAAGGGTGTCAGACTTACGCGATCCAAAACTAGTTTCTGGTTTATAGTAGCGGCTTCCAAGAATGTATATAGCATAATCAATTGGCCGCTTATGCACAGAAATGTAATGTAAACATTAGTTGAAACTACCAGCCAATACACATCTGATTCACTTGCTGGCTCCCATGCAACAGGAAGAACATGCTCTGGGCCCATGAGTGTGATAGGGCAGACAACACATGGGCCCATGTTTCTGACGTTTTGAAAAAGATTGAATTCCAATATACTCGATGGATATCGATGGATCTATACTCCCCGCCGTGCTCGCTTTCAGAGCGCGACAAGGCTGTACCACACCAGGTTGAAGAACTTGGCAGTCATGTCCTTGAATCTTTACAGCAAGAGACTGCGAGCGTCAGAGGCACAACGACACTCGTTGGGCTGTACAATCTGAGCCGCCTGTTTGCCAGGGACGTTTGGACTAGAGTTCTGTATAGATCTGCCGCTTACTCAGCTCTGCTGAACTGTGGTTGGTGCGGTGTCCAAAAAAAATTGAGAAGGCCACGCCAAACGAACAATAACGAACACAGCAACCGATAAAATAGGAACCTTGAAGCTCAAATGAGATAACCCCATCATGGACATTGACATAAGGCACTGATAGATGTTCTGCCAACTTTTGCATGGCTGACCCATGCTGTGCACACCACCCAGATCATCGGCTGGTTGTGTGACAGCTGTATATCTGAGGGCGAACCTTCGGTCTTCGCAGCTGCCATCCATCACTCAACATACACCGGAACGCTCCTTGGACTATTGGAGTATCATCCCCAAGGAGGTTTGGTAAAAAACATGTGAAAAACCAACGGATTTTGAAGCTACGTAAGTTCGCCTTGACTGAATGACCACCATCGCAAGATCCAGTTGTAGCATGATGATGCTAGACCACTTGTAAACTGGGATATGATATGCGACGGAAAACCAAGCACAGAATCCTGACAAATGTGTTGGATGTTTAAGATTTTCCACTCGGAACTGACCATGGATCAATGTTTTCCCAAACATATCGTATCATATGCAGCATGGTCAAAATATGGTGCATGGGAACATGATATTTGCTGTGGGTCATCCTGCGCCATTTTTTCAAACTCCTTCCAGTATATTTGGAAGGTAAACCACTGGGGGATGACCATCCCCTTTAAAAACACCCCGGTTGAAGCCGTCCAAGGTGCATAGAGAAGACCATTGTAGTCTTGGGTCGTCGGGCACTCCGGGCATGCAGATCGGCTTTCCTCTGCAGCTCCTCGTCATCTTCCTGTCTTTTTTAACAGCAGGTAATGGGGAGACGTTTGGAGAAATCCCAGTAGACATGGCGAAATCAATTTTTTTCGAAGTGAACTTCTTGGGACTGAACTTTTATGAAAACAACTCAAAATTGATTGACTTGTTGTGAATTTGTGGTGTTGGAATCCCACAAGGATGACCAAACACCTACACTGCCTACACTGAAATTAAATCTTTGGTGCGTGGGGCGTGGGGCGTGCTTTTCCTAGGCTGGAACTAGTTTCAGTGGTGCTAAAGACTGTAGTCCTTATGATTGCAATGTTTCTCTCTTGGGCATGCTCTTGTGTAGTTTGAAGCTTGCCAAATTATGCGGTATAAAATGATATAAAATGTGGCAAACTGGCTCAAAACTCTTCATATTTCGCATGCTAGCAACAGAAACAAACCTAATGTCAGCAATCAGCAATAATAAAACTTAGGATCCACCATACCCAGGTTTATCATCAATGGTTGGTATATACCATCAATCCATTTGGCTTGTTGATTGTTGCTATCGATAGGATGACCGGCGTCCACGTTGTCCAGAAATTCAGCGACTGCGGAGCCGAGCTTCGATGTCCAGAAAGGTGTTGCGCACAATCAACCTGTCCAGAAATTTCCGATTCGAGGTCCATCCAAAAAAAGGGGAAACCCCAAATTTTAATGGGTAAATCGGGTAAATGATGGTAAATGACACAGGTATATGACATATATACTTAAGTTATCACTTGTTGACCCACCTATGTGTTTTTACGAAAGGGCCACGTTAGTCGGCAGTTGCACTCCCGAGGCCAAGTCTTAAGCCCTGCCATGAATAGCACAGGCAAATCAGCAACAGTACTAGTACCATCAAACAGAGCCTAGAAATTGAAATTTGACTCCAAAACAGCAAGGCTGCAAAACGGCCGGAAAACAGAATGACCCTTGCTTCGCAAAGGTGAATTTATATGACCCTGCTGAGATACAGTATTTATATGTATGTATGCTGGAGAAAGGTACAGTACACATACACACACATATCATTACATTATACACAATAATCTGGTTGGTGGTTTTAACCATCTTGAAAAATACTAGTCAATGGGAAGGATTATCCCATATATATTATGGAAAATAAAAAAATGCTTGAAACCACCACCCAGCCATTAACCATTATTATATAACCATTACATAACCGCTATTAGTCATTATTATATAACCATTATTAACCATTATTAACCATTATATATATATAATCATTATCCTAAAACCATTATTATATAAATATTATATAACCATTATCCTAAAACCATTATTATTATTATATAACCATTATTAACCATTATTAACCATTATATAAATAGTATATAACCATTATACAAACAATGAACCAACAATTCATCATCCAATTGGATCCTCCCCTGCCGCCCCGCCCCGCCTCGACTCCAGCTTCATGTCCTCGCGCTCCGCGGGACTCGGGCCGAAGCTGACTTCCGTGTCGGACAGGAACTTGGGCTCCACATCTTCCTTGAAAAAGGCGATGATTCCAGCGATTTCTGGTCAATGTGTCTGTTGAACAGCTTGCTTTCTGACACCAAACAGTTTGAGAGTCTAGAAACATGATATATATATATATATATATTATAGTATATAGTATATCAATTGCTGGATATGGAATATATGCACTTGATATTTTGTGCTTCAAACATAACTTATGGATTTGGGGGTGCCATGAGGAAACCATCAAATATTGCTATGCCAGTTCACTCCAATCATGGTTATAAAAAATGGTTAAGAATGGTTAATACTGGCTAATATTGGCTATATATGGCTATATATATATATACATAACCATACATAACCATTATAACCATTGGTTAATTATAAACATTACTATAATCATTAATATAACCATTAATATGTTTATTGCTATGGTCAACTCACCAAACCACACCAAGCTTCATGCACCCCTGGCGCGCTCGAGCCGCCATTGGCGCGGCGATAGGCCGTCTTGGCCAAGGGGAAGACTTCGAAGAAATGCTTGCGCACGGCCTGGCTGGTGCCAAAAGTAGGGGGAATTGATGGGAATATGGGATGAATATGGATGAATGATGGATGATAATCCCATTCATTCCCTCATTACGGAAAAACACCAGTAAGTTGAAGAGATTTGAGGATGACTTGCGGGATGCACCAGTAAGTGCACCTGAAAATGGATGGGCATGTACAAGACTTTTGGATCTAATGTTATTACAAATAGGGATTTAATCATCAAACATTGTGTAGTAGAAAAGGATAGAAAAGGTTGGGGTACACACCTAAAACAATGTTGATTTGTGTCCCGAGTCATAACATGGGAAGTCAACCTGTAAGCTGAAGAAACTTGGGGATTTCCAGCTACCTTTGGCATTTGTGCTCCAACTTGACGCTTAAAAGTCCCATTTTACCTTCACATAATCAAACTGGAGGATAAGCCCCTGATGGGGATGGAAGATGGTAAACCCCCCAATAAGGGGCGAACTCTGAGTGGGGCAATCTGGAATTTGAAGAAAGAATCAAATCAACATCAAACACCATTAGGATTGGTTGTAATTACAACAACTAGCAATATAAGCGAAATTATCAACTCCAAAATCTTATCTTGAATAGATCTTTACATGCTATTAAACTGCCATGCCTGCCATGCAATAAAACTGTGATAAAACCACATTAATGTCCATCATAATTGTACGATCAGAATCTAGTCCAATCGCACCATTTTCTCTAATCAGGCAGCTGAACAGTTAATTAAACTCACCCATCAACATCCATCAACTTATTGGTGCTTAACGAAGGGAGCGGCACCAGCACCCACCGTCATGGTGCCCCAAGCCCTGTCCTCCCATTCGCTGCGTCGCACTAAACATTGGTAGGGCACCAGCTCGCGACTGTCCAAGACATCAAATGTGTGCAGCTCCTGACGGGAACGCCTGGACCTGGGTGTACTAAACTCACTGGGTGTACTAAACATGATTTTACTTAACTTATATACTAGAGTATCCTTTGATTAATATTGATCTAAGATGATCTAAGTATTATAGAAGTAGGGATTTTAGTTTTATTTATTACGATGATGAGCCTATTCTCTCTCTCTCTCTCTCTGACTCTCTCTCTCTCTCTCTCTGGCTCTCTGACTCTCTGACTCTCTGACTCTCTGACTCTCTGACTCTCTGACTCTCTGACTCTCTGACTCTCTGACTCTCTCTCTCTCTCTCTCTGTCCGAAATTGGAATTTTTCCAGCCAGGTAGCTGGTAAACATTGACATGCAACGAATCCCGTTGTGTAGCATCTGGTAAGCAAACCCGGACAGTGAAAAGCACACCATTTTGAACCTGATGATCATTGGAAATGATCTGGGTGAAATGTAGCCACAGGGCAACCGTCGCGAAAATGGAGGAGAAAACCGAGATGGTGGCTGACTTCGCCATACGCGCGGAGAAGAAGAAACATAAATCAGTGACTTCATATGACTTCATGTTAATTAGACTATCACACAACAAGCTTTTACATGCTTTTAACATCTTTCACCAATACAGTAACTTCCAAAAGATTGAACAAGGTCAATCTTTCCCTAAATTTTAGATTCGGATTTTTACAGAATTTTACCCTTCATTTGTTTAAACATGTGAAAAAACATGTTTCGGGTGCAAAAAAAGAAGAACTCCCCAGACTCCCCATCAACTTGGCATCGGCATCCCGGCATCCTCTCCGATGGCTTTCAAGAAGACGCTGAGATACTGCGAGAGGCGGAACTTATTCCTGGAAGTCGTGTGACCTGTCGCGGTGGGCTGGTGGGCTGGCTTGAGTTTACCTGAGTTTACCCATGGCATAAACATGTTTTTTTGAACCATCCCCAAATGGGGATGGTTTATGGCATTGGGTTTCCCACATGATCTGAGGCCGCACACGAAAAACATAGAACAACTTGGCGTTGCGGGTCAACATGACAGCAGACAAGCAATCCGCATGTTGCAATGTTGAAGATCTCAAAACGTCCATGCACCACACCCTCCCAGCCATCTCACATGCCCCGGCCTGGTTGGAAGCGCGCCCAGTGCT